AGTCATCGTAACCAGAGCGAAAGCATTCTGAATATCGTTGTGGCGGGCGCTATTGTTGTATAACGAGTCAGACCTATCCCAACGAACGGGCACAACGTGTACAGGAACGCATTTATTTATGAACCAAAATGTAGTAATAAAATTAAGTAAATTAATTAAAAAATCTTTCCCTCCTTCTCCTTTAGTGTAAATTAAATGGCAAGTAATAGAAATGTAAAAGGTACGAAGTATTGTTTGACGTGTCCATAATTAATACTCACAATGAATAAAAGATTACAATGTTGACCTTTCCCAGATCGCTTATTATAGATTTAATTGAACGAGTATTAAAGCGGTAGAAGACGTAAATCCGCCCCTGCAGGTATTCTTCCAGCGTTTTCGATTAGTCACGGCATATCGAGTACTCGAAACCCATTCGCCATGGGCCGTCGAGTTGAAATCTCGCCAATAAAAGGAACTCGGAGTGCGTTACGCATCGAACTAGCGACCCACCGGCCGAGGTGTCTCCGTAAAAAAAGTGTTTCAAAGATTTGATGTCGGATAAGCGTCCATCACATTGTGGATCCCTCGGACCCACGGCAGTGTGTATCTCGAGTGTCTTTTTGACACTGACGAACAAACGGATAAAGCAACAATGGCTCGTTTCAAGCGTAAAGTTGAATGAATTCTGTCAAAATGACAATCAATGATATAGCGTTGCGCAATGAAACATTACTTCTTAAGTAAGAAAAGCATGCAATAGCATTCTTCAAACAACTTGGAGAATTTACAAGTCTCACAAAAAAAAAAAGAAAAGGAAGATTGCCGTTGATTTGAAATTAAAATAAGTAGAAATGTATTTTCTTAGATAATTATAATTCTTGGATAATTAATTCTTCGTTGAAGATCGTACTTCACAACCTCCACATTCTCGTATACAGAGTTAAACGTACATCACTCGCGACGAGGGAGAGTATCTTCACGTATCTCGTATTTGCGATCGTGAGTCATGAATCTGCGGACTAGATAAGGGAATGATACATATGTCTTGTTCCTCATAGATTTAATGACGGAAAGAAAGTGTCGCCTCAGAATTGACAATAAGCTATTTATAAAGTTTTTTTTTTTGCAAGAACGTGATAATAGATAAAAATACGCGTACCAGAGGATGTGAGATAACGCGAATTCTGAGAGAATGTAATCATATCATTTAACTACTCAAATCAAATAGTTCTTTTTAAATATCTCAGAACACTTATCAATTTAATAAGGCCATAATGATAAAACTATATAATAACTGTATATATACATATATATAAAATTATAATTTTTAATAACTCCGCGATTAAACTGGTAATAGAAATATAATGAAAAAATAATTATTAATCTTCCACTACTTTTATAAAGATTATTGATTTTATCATTAGAACATACCTATTATACTGTTATATTCACTCTAGCATCTACTAGTATAATCGTCACGATTTATTTTGCAAGTATTTAAAAATATATAATATACCGTTTGCTTGAATAAAACAGCGTGTGAACGATAAAAGATCCTCGATATAATCGCATTAATTAAGCCGAGCTTGCTTGGTTTTATCCAGCTACGTCAGATTTTGATGTATAGTAACTTCAGCAATTATTAAGTCTGCTGCTACCTCTTTTATTTTCCCTTTTCCTAAGTATACCCTGCGATAAATGCAATTGATCACTCAGATGGTATTTATCTACGTCTTGCAATATCTCCTTACAATGTAAGTAAAACTTGAAAAAATATACGACGATCTATGTATTATCTCGATTACTGACATATTACTTGAAAAGTTTACACTCGGTTTTTATCATACATAATTATCAAGGTACTTTCTATTATTATGAAATAAGATATTCATTTATTTATTAGATTAAATCCCTATCTTGTTTTCTCTTTCTCTTGATTTACATTTTCGCCGATAGTTTTGTTGTTGCCGAGAAGTCGAACAATTTTTTGTAAAAATAGAGATACGCCGTTTTCATTTCTACACGACGCTCGTAGCAGACGACCATTTTGCAGATATCATCTTCGATATCATCGCGTAAGACATTATGAAGATTTACAGTTATTCGAGTAAGCGAAGCGATGTGTGCAGCGTTGGTATTATATTCAAGATTCTCAACCATTCTCGACTACGGAACCCCCGCGGTGTCATACGCTATCAAGATATCATCGAAGCAGAGCGAAGCGCCAAGGCGTGTACTACTGATAGTTTCGTATCTATGCATCTTTCTATGTCAATATCTATAATCTAGCGTGTAAGACAGCATTAACAGATACGTTTAACCGCTACAGATTATTCGAGGGATTTATGTCAAGTCAGCCCATTTCGATATGTAAAAGTAATAATCAAATCAAAATTTGCATTATATGATTACGGGTATACACTTCATTTTTTTTATCATTTTAAATTCTTCAAGTTTTTAATTATGGTCTACTTTTTTTTATAATTTATCGCTTTAAAACTACACGATACACTCTTCCCTTGTGTACTGATATTATCTATCTAGAAAGGTCCTCGTTCTGACTTCTGCGGCTAACCACATAGAAGTTGCAACTTCTAAAAAATGCAACCGCGACTAGATGAATCAGTGAATCGTGACTCATACTATCAAAAAAAAATGCCGGCATCGAGAAATTGAGACGTGTGAGGTAAAATCGACCAAGGAATGAAACCAGATTTGCATATTAGTACACTTGCAAATATTGCGCTACATTTTAGATTATATATCATTTGCGAGCGTAAACGCGAAAGAGTTCGATATTTCTTACTCGAAAATTAGTCTTGAGGGTGTGCCTTAACTGAAACTAATAATGCTTAATAGGCTCTTTGCTACTATAAATTGATACACAATTTTTCACGGGAAAAAGGATAGAATATGCGAGCTGACTACACACATGTATCGACAAAGGTATTTTAACGACGGCTTATTGATAGCTTATTACACAAAATGTTACACACGTGAACCTAATTATTTTCCCTCAATTTTTTTCTATTTTCAAGGAACTCACATTCACATTTTTTTTCGTGGTTCTTTAAAATGCCTGAAATCTTTGGGATAAATTGAGTAATGTCAAATAATCCAGAAAACGTTTCGATAGTAAATCATATGATATAAAAGCGACACGTTAATTATCTTTCGATACGATGAAGATAATAATCTGTTTTGGAATATTCAATGTTGTCATGATCATTTTTTACAATATATAAGCTTTTGTTATTAAAAAATGTATTAATAATAGTTATAGATGCACATTATTTTAGAAACAGTTTAATTTCATTGGATTATAATATAAAAACAATGTTTGAAAATTTGTAAAAATTAAGATAAACGGTACATAATTGGAACTGCTCTGACAGCGACTTTAACGGTCGATGGCGAACGGTGCTGCGGTACCCTGTTGCAAATAGCACACCATTAGCCTCTGTATGAGACGGGCGTAATGTTATACATTATGCTCTAATGACTACGTGTGGATTGCTGCTGCGCATAAGTACGCGAGTCCGTTGTTCTCTTTTACTCGATCATCATCCTAAAGACACAGGTGCATTCTTTAATAATAGTTTTCAACGTTCAACATAATCTAATTAATATAATAACACAAAGGACAAATTTTTTTCTAAAGATCTATCAAAATATTTGAGAACAGATGTTTGGAAAGATTTTTTTAGCGTAAATAAAATTCAGTCAAAATAATGATATTCACAAGTAAAAAATTAATAATAATTTAAAATAATATAAAAGTTGAGATATATATAAAAAACATAAAACAGTTATCAATTTGGAATCGTCAATTTCTCTTGTAAAAAAAAGTGCGCTATAACAATTCATCAGACATAATCGTGATAAAGTGCATCTTAACTAAGTAACGAGCAATGAAGACAAATGAGTAACCGCTATCACCTGTCCGTCCATGACATGCCTTCGAGGCACCGTCATGGTGCAACTCGTGTTTAATTAAGGTTAACGAGTGACGTACCTAGCACGTAATTAAGGAGAACGTGACCGCTTACGTTTAACTACGGTTAACTTTACCGCCTTCTTACAATCGGACAACGTCGGATTTTTTGCAAATCGCTTCTCTAATTAATTTCTCTAGTTAATCCAATACACACAGCGACCATTGTCACAATGTAACTTGAAATCAAATGCACAAAGAAGAAGCCCGCCGTTCTCACTATCTCGTACTTATTATGAGAAATGACGTGGAGCGTTCTCCTCTTTTTTTTTTTCCATCTCGGCAGGCCCCTTGCTCGATTGCATCTTCCCGTCAACGAGAAATCACGAATGCGCATGCCAAATCTTTGAAGGGAACGATGACGGGATCCCTCGCGTCAACGTCTTTCTCGTTTATGCCTCGCGAAAGCGATGTGACGAGGAACGAAGTCCCTCCGGGCGATTTCGGACCGGCTCGTTTTCGCGGCGGCACGCCATCGCCCCTTCTTCTTCTCGTGTTCGTCGTCAGGACATCCTACGGATTGTCCCACCACGGAGGAGAGATTCGGCGGCCACTGCGAGATCCAGCGCGATGCATTCCAATGCAAATATCTCTCGCCCTGGGGACACGGCGTAATCGTCGCAATTTCATGCTTCTCAGAAATTCAACCTGCTCGCTTTACATCTCTTCTCTTCTACGATCCTTTCTGAAGCCTGATACTCTCTTACCTCATCCCATCTCGCAACCCAGTACTTGATAACTCTGCACCCTCGAGTACTTTGGAGCGCCTTAATATTTCATTGCTGCGATCGGGAAGGAATAACAGAATCGTAAGTGGTTCGTAATGAAGGGTATATTTATAGCTCTTTCGAAATGATGAATGAATCGCGCGATTTTATAAATCATCTTCAAAGTGATATATCGGTCTCTATTCTTCCTATTATTCTTTTTTTTTTTTTTTTTTTCTTAAAAGAGAATTAAAAATATAGATAATCACTTTGCTTAAGAATACTTAAGAAAAATGCTATAGGATATAAATTAAGCAATGAACCAGCAGGAGACTAAGGATATCAAGTTTCAGCTTGTCATCGGATCAGTTTTAGCACCTGTTAACCGCTCTGTTTATAGTTTACTCGTCAAGATGTCGAAGTTAAGACGGTAAAGATAAATTGTCGTGAAATGTTTAATTATTTTTTCAGATATTTACTTCTTAAGAACTTTTTGAGAGATATAAGTTATTGTATCTCTCACGTTTCTGATTTAATTATACAAATATAAAATACTTGACTATATTTAAGTGGTGTACATAACTAATAATCTTATGAATATTCCCTACCTCTTAAAAATGAAGGCTAAGATTCTCGTATCAAAATAGTTTCCATCACGTACATAAAAAAATTCATCGCTTATTTATTTTCTCGCTTGCATATATATTTCTCACGAGATGGATCTCTTTATTCCAGGGTGGTCGGAGCGGTGGTGGTCGGCGCGGCTGTCTGCAGTCGCATCCCTGGATTGGCGAAAAGTCAGCGCGACCAGTGCAGGAAAGCGCCGCACGCGATGCCGGCGGTGGGCGAAGGCGCCGCACTGGGTCTGCGCGAGTGCCGGCACCAGTTCCGACATCACCGTTGGAACTGTTCCCACGTATCCAACGATCAGGTCTTCGGCCACGTGGTGGTAGTGGGTAAGAATTGTTCTGTCACCAGCACTCGGTATTTATTACGCCGCGTAATATATCATGGATGCTATACTCGCTTTGCTCCGCGAAAGGCTCTCCTGCCGTGTAAAGTAGTAGGTAGCGGGATGAAATTGCACAGTTAATGTTTCAAGTATCCACAATAGAAACACCGTGCAATTGAAATGTAAAAAAAGGAAAGTTTGGATATATATGGGAATTCATCACTTTAACGCGCGCATAAAGTAGCATAGCTTACTACCTGTTATGTATCAGTAAGTCGCGTGCGTGTTGGAACATCCTCAGTACATATATTATGAGTTAAAGAAGACACATGGCTGTTACATCTATTAGACTCGCACTTGTACTACACTAATGACCTTTTTATTAATATCCTCGTGCATTGTCATCGATTTATTCATTTACATTCTAAACGATTTTTCTCATTATAGAAGGTTCAGCGATTAAAAATTCAGAACTAAATTAATAAATTCTCCATCTCTCTCTATTTTATCATGAAAATTACTACAGTCTCATGTAGTTATTGAATAATTGATCAGCGATTATATATCTTAATTCTTTCAATCGTCCTCTCTAAATAAATCAAGACGAGCTAGCATTTGCCGTTATGTATAAATATTTATGTAGCTCATAATTTTATTTAAAAAACCAATAAAAGAATAATATATATTCTTTTATATATTATATTTTTCTTATTGCGTTTTTTCATAAATTAAGAATGTTTTAGCTCTCCACGAAAGACTGATGGTGATATAACATTAAGCAATGTTCAATACCTCACCTAAATTTTGATAAAAACATTATAAACTCCTTCATTTTTCTCCCGCAGCTCAAAATTCTTAAATTAAGTACTCTATTCGGGTCGCTTTAACGCTAATTCGAAGAGACATTTTACGGCAGTGTTGTGTCAGAATTTTTATAGCGCTTAGAATTTTACGGATGAGAAACGTGGTAGCGCATTTTTATCACTATGGAAATCAGCAAGTGCAGGTAGTGGACTACCATACATACGTATCACACATTCCGGTATGAAATAGGGTCTGGTTTCTCGTGTTACCGTTTCGTCGTGGCTGCAACCTGCACTCCAAGTACATAACTTATGTTCGAAAACCAGGATTATTCAGTGTCCTCTTGCCGATTAAAAAAACTAATATTTAGAAACATATTTAATACACATATATATACCTCAATATATATTATATGTTTTTCAAAATCAATTTTCTAGATAATCCTAACTTCAGTATTCTAAATTAAGATTAAACCTGTATACAAAATCTAATCGTTTTATCCGTAGTCAAAAGAGAAGAAGTTATCTCCTGCAAAGTGCAATTATTTAAAAATGTGCTTGATGTATAACCAGATATCCTTAATCGCTTCTTAATTTTTTATGGTTAAAGGAGCAATCTAATAATATTAACGAGCTGCACGTCGTAGTGGCGGGTCGGCTCGATGACAAACGGCGAAAGCGATATTTTTCGAGAACAAGATAATCCCTGAGTGGAAGCAGATACGTGATCCAAAAATATTGTCAAATGCAACACATTTGTCATCTCGGCATTAAATACTACAAATGTGAGTCGAGGGGATAAATGTCCCACATCGAAGGGATATTACCCGGTTGTACATGTACAGCTTGTTACATCTCGAGATCAGACCTCTCAAACCTTTTAAATTTTATAGGCAAAGAAAGATATATGATTGAGGAGAAAATCTCCATTAGAAGAAAAATTAATCGCAATCATATAATGTCTCTGAAGAACAACCAGGATATTTTTTATATTATTTTTTCCATCTTTAATAGAAAAGTTTTTAATTTGAAACGTCCTGTATACGAAGAACACCAGATGTAACAGCGTGGCGCTTCGTAATGGTGTAAGTCAACGATTTTTCATGATTAACCGAGCGGATTAAAGCACTGAGGTAGAAGAATCAAAGAAGCTTGGTAAACACGATGTGATTTACAACGCAACGAGATGATCGTACTTTGTTACCCGTACTCTTGCCATTATACAAGCCTCGTCCGTCATCATCGAGAGGCTCGTGGGTGACTTCTGGAATTCCACGCTGAATAAAGTGCGCATATGAATACATTGTATAAGATCCTGCTAAAGAGATTGGAGGGAATATTATGATTGCGTGAGATATTTGCGTACGTCACAAATATGTATAATGCAACAACTAATTACGAGTTTAGCATTTTAATTAATGACGATCACTACCTTTTTATTCAAGTTTACACAAGACGGAGTGTGCCTTGTAGACGTGACATCACGAAAATACGTGTAAATATTTATTAAAACCTTTACTATTGTCACATCTGCAAGTCGATAATGTCGTAGAATTTAAAATCGAAGAAAACCCGTACGGTATGTTTTTTAAAAGAGCGAGAACGTTTACGTACGCTCGACGACACGGACGCAAAGCAGAGAAGGAAAATAAGCGGCGGCGCGAGGAAGTCGGACGAGAAATAAGAAGATCAGAAATTAATGCGCAAAAAAGTATAAATAACGCTTATAAGAGACAGTGGGAGAGAGGATATAAGATGGAACAGGCAGGGCGGTCAGTTGCTAACTTAATTAGTGAAATTAACGGGGCCGCTCAACATACCGAAGCTAAATGCAGCGATATATATGCTTTAAAATATTTTCCTGCTCTTAAAACATTTTTGCATTCTATGTGTTCTACATGTAATTTGTAAGCGTACGTGTAGAAGTAGAAAAGTCAAATTAAACAAAGTTTCAATTAATACATTTAAAATCGCATCGAACGAAATTGTCAGACGATATAGAGATAGCCTGTCGAGTTGTGCTTAAGATCTATGTTGCTCATTAAAAAAAAGCTATGAATGAACAGAATATAAATTTCTGCGGTAGCTCTGCACATATCAGCATTCAGATCTTTGAAGCTAATTCTCATTTATCCATACTGTGAAAGAAAATTAAATGCGGATGCCTTTAGGAGTTTATTTTTGAATGTCAATATATTTTTTTAAAATTAACTCGTGTTTTTTCTCCATCCGTAATTCAATTACAATCGCGTGTCGTGCGTGTCGAATGTTAACGATATAATAGATACGATTGTAATTCAATATAATTAGGTGCATCAATCGTCGTCGATCTGAAAACTCGTTACAGAAGCTGCGACACTGCTCAAAGCGGAGACGTCGTGGCCCACTCGAATGAATTCTCGTGGTGAATACATTTTCATAAATTAGGCAGATTTATCTGGGAGACTTTTCGAGATCCGAGAAAACGTGGGCGGCGATCATCTAATCGTCTAAATGAAACGACGTAATTAAGAGATCCATTACGTGGACGATGGACCATATATTATCCGTTGTAAATTCAAGCGAAAACAGGACGTCGTCATAGAGATTTCCCTTTCTCTCTTCTCTTCTTTATCCTCTCTTCCTTTTTCTTTTCCTCTTATTTTGTTATTCTTCTAATAATTAAAAGCACTCTCAGCCGTTTACAGTAAACGAGATCTTCCAAAAATCGTTATCTCGTCAAGCTGTCGTTCTTATCAGCGAGTGATTCCATGCGAATACCTGCCATTCGCCAAAGGGCTAATATTATTTCGCGCATGACAACGTTATTCGGACGGCACAGCAAACGAGCGATAAGCAAAAGCGGGAGACAAAGTCGAGTGACAAAGAGAACGCGAAGGAGAGCTGACGTTCGTACGAGACGCCGAACGTATCCTCTTCTGCTCCCCCTCACCCCCACCCTATCAACCCTTGGATAACATTGGCGAAGATACTGCATTAATGTATAGCGTCCTATCAATTTCTGTTGCAAGCCTTCTCCTCCTCTTCATCCTTCCGTACACTTATATCCGCTCTCGCGCTTGTACGCGTTTTTTTCATTTTTTTCAAGTTCTTATCCGTCTCAAATAACTGGACTGGCCCACACTCGGCGCTCTGGCATGGACACACCTACCTACCTGCGTCTACCTGCCTTTACCTGTCTTTACCTGCCTGCTCGGTTGCCTACCTTCTTACCTGTCTGCCTGCCTTCCCGCTTGTCTGCCTGCGGTTCCTCCCCTGGTGCACAGTTGATGCATTCATTCTCCTGTTCCGCATCGATGTATACTCATATTGAGCTATATCGCGTCGATGACCGTGCGAAATAGCGCACATGCCGGGTTCGACACACATATACGCACGTATATACAAAGTAACGATGGTACATACAATAGAAAGACGATTTCTTCGTGCGAAAAGATGTTCAGACGGTAGAATTTTTTTACTTTGTTTTGAAAAATGTTAGTTTTAACAATTGAAAGTCAATATTTATCGAAGACTTTAAATATCTTTATTATTCTGTAAATAAGAAAAAAGCTCTCTCTCTCTCTCTCTCTCTCTCTCTCTCTCTATAGCTTTATGATTTCGAAAGGGGCACGCGCGGATATATATTTGTTATTTTACATATCATATTTTATGTATCGATTAAATAGCTTTCACAAACTAATTATATATAATAATTATACCGCGCGGTAACGCGAGTCGATTTATCTCTGTCAACGTTATCTTACCGCTAATTTGCTCGATAGATTGTTTGAGAATTTGCCGGCTTGTAGAAACGTCCATGGGAAGCAAACCCGGCATGTACCTACATATCTACCGTCCAGTAAAATAATTAGATTAGATAATGCGTGCGAGAGTGTCTACAGAGAAACCACTGAAAGAAGAGTCATTTTCAAGAATTTACGGTCGATGTTGCAGCATTTCTTTTGCGATATCCTTCGGTTATTCTCGGAACTGATATTTATTCAAAATCAAATTATGTACTCGGGTCTGTTTAAGTAATTACGAACTGCGGTCAATCGTATATTTATGTATCCGACTATACGTGATTACGTTTAAAATAAACTCGGACGTCGCACGCACAGTGTAACTATCGTAATTTGCCGTTATTAGCAATTTCGATTGTATACGTGTAGATTTGTAATAGTGATTGACTATTAGATATTGCCGTGTAGGAAGATGTAAGATAAAATTCCATGTAAAACTAAATGGGACTCGTTTTTCCTATCATCCGAACTAATGCCTGGCGATGATTTATCTGCCGAAGGCAAAGAAATGAAGGTGCGGCGGGATGACGAACGGGATCGATATAATTCAGCGTATTTTAGTGTGGAAAAGTGCCAACGGCACCGGTGGATCCTAGTATGGATTGAGTTATGGACCGGTACGCTGGGGTGCTCGCTCTCGAATCCCCAGAGGCTCTCACCGGCGTCTGTGGATATAAGACCTCTTTAAACCCCGTATAAAAATAAACTAGTTAATAAATTAATATATCGCCGGCTCGTATCTCTTTCCCCGTTGACCGTTGCTGTGGACAAGTGCCTCTGCGAAAATCGCCAACGAGTCGACCGGGGCCATTAATAATGATGTGTAAGTGAGTCCAGAGAAAGAGATAGACAGAAACGGGGACACAAAGAGAGAGAGAGAGAGGGAGGGAGGAGGAGAGAGGGGGGAGGGAAGCAAGACGATGAACTCGCACAGATTGTCGTTGCTGCCCTTCTTATTAAGATGTAACCGGTCATCGGAAACGGTGTACGATAAGTACCTTCCAAGAAAACGCTTGAAGAAAGGCGGTTATAAGATTATTTTTTTCGGTTCTTTCGATAACAGGTACTCAATCTTCACGAGTTTCGCGCGGTTTGTAATAACAAGCGCGATGATACCTCGCTCGTTTACAATGTCACGCGAACGTCGTGAGTAATTCTATGCGTGAGTCTGCAGCCCCCGAGCAATATACTTGTGTGTAAGAGATTTAACCCACAACCTTATCAACGACAAGTTTACATAATTCAAGTATAACAATTAATTGTTGAATTCAACGCTATTCTCTATACCAATTTTACTATTTAAATTTCATTTCGCTATTCTACATCAATTTCAAAAACAAAACATTCGATAAAACGTGTATGTACACAGAAAAAACGATTTTATTGAAGTACAAAATTTAGTTATATAGATACAGATCTGAAAATAATTTTGTTGAATCACTTAAATATTAACAACAATTAATAGCAAAAAGTTTTAATATTTTAGCAACCAATTTGGACGTCCTATATAATTATTTTCAAATTTGTTTCTAGTTAAATTTTTATTATAGCAAAACCGTTCTTTGTCATTAATTTATAAACGTTTCTTTATATTAATTTGATATTAATATAATTTTTTTCATATGTAAACATTGATAAAGTATCTGATTTGTGAGATGTGACAAAATATTGGATTGGAGGTCAAAGTTTAATGTCGCGAAACGTTGCAAAATGTTGTAGACAGGAACCTTATTACCGAGGTTACGTGTAATGTACCTGCTCACACGTGACACCGTGAGAGTCTTGCGCCATGCTACATGTACATCGAGCACACGAACAGCCGTAAATCACCAGTTTAACGTAACAAACACTATAAACGAGATACAACCACGGATCCTCCTGACTAACTCTGATACTAGATGCGACCCCCCGTTGTTACGGCTCGCACGAATACGAGTGTCGTGCACATAATATGGCGTGTTAAATACATTCTACATGACAAGAATCTTGATCAATGTTTTTTTAATATCATGTCTACCATGTATCTGCCGATACCTGGAAATTATATGATTTCTTTTTTATCACAAGTGTTTAAAAAACTGATAAAATTATTCTAATGGAAAACAGATTTTTTTATATTTAATGTACAATAATAGACTTATATTATTTATTTAATAATTACAAGTTAAGAAATAGCACACACACACACACACAAATGATTGTAAATTTACAAAATAATTTTGGAACCTTTCGAAACTTAAGAGTTTTAATTTTGAAATTTTATTAATAAATCTTGAAAGCATGAACCGTTATAATTACATGAAAAAAAATCGTGCATAATTATTTGTCCGGATCAATCAAGAAATATCAATCCTGCATCATTAAGAAACAAGATTTCTCCTCGAAAAAACAACTGTGAAGACATCCCGAAGTGGATTCGAATGCAAATTCAATGGCCAGACTCAGATTGAATAAATATTAAGTGAAGATGTGTGTCTTAATTACAAGTAATTGGTTAATTGTCTTGTGCTGACTGATCGAGTTTAATTTGACGGTGAAATAGGAATCATGCAAGTTCTTATCAAATTTTTACTAAATAAAATCCAACATTACTGTTGATTTTGCATAAAAGAACGTAAAAACTAAATCACAAATTCGTTAAAGTTGAATCGTTCATTAATTATAAATCTTAATTAAATTAAACGTTAATTATAAACATTACGCCCTAATGACTGTTTTCATTAGAGAGTAGTAACGATCATTTGTCGTACCGATGTCTTCAACACATTTTTCGTCGTATTCTGCCATCTGCGCCTTTTAAAATTGTTGCTAATATTATTGTACCTCGTATGTACGCATGCATAGAAAAAAATATACTAAATTTTAATATGCACCAACTAAATATTTATCAAGTATGAAGCTACAGTTATTTAGTACAACTATTAATTTGATTATCATTTCTATTATTGTCAATATCTATTTACTGTAAGTAAATGTTTAATTGGCACTATTCAAATAAATATTTATTAAAATTTAATATATTTTTTCTTAGTGTATATAACTGTTTAGGTATTTCTTCGCACAAACGACCGTACAAGAAAGAAATCCTATTGAATCTTATTAGAAAAATAAATATTCGCGTGTGTATCCTGTTTTCCTTTCTATTGTCAAAAATAGCAAACTTGTTCAAATGTAAAATACATGGCGTGTATGATTTCATATCGTATAATTATACGATACGATATAGTGTCAATTGCTCTCTATTTTTGACTGATTAATTATCATACTGATCAATTTCAACGAAAACATGAGCAGTTCGCAATTAAAATCACGCCACAGATCTTTTTGTCATACACAAAAAAGATGGCTGCTCTATTTTAATCCATCCACTCGACAGCAGTTTATGATGATTGAGCGATGATTATTCATTGAACCGGTACAGGCGAGTCGTTTCAAATTATAAAAGGACGGTGCTACACGGCAGTAAGAGTCGGGCTCCGTGTTCTTACCCGTAGCAAAGAGAGGTAAAACGTGCTGCTTTTTGTCCTGTCTCGGTTCATCCGTCGTGACACAAAAGGAGAGAAGCGTTCTGCTCGCGTGCATTACTAGAGAGAGAGAGAGAGAGAGAGAGAGAAAGCAAGGACTTTAAAATATTCCACCCCATACACTATCATCACGCAGTTTGATCTCATGAATAACTTGACACTTCTCTCTTTCTTTTTCTTTCTCTCTTTGGTATAAGCTTGTACAGACGTCATATAAGATCGGAAATAAGAAATTTAATAACAATTATATAATTAATGCCTGTTTCCACCAATGCAGATTAACTTTAATCTCGGTTTAACTTACTGTTAATCTTTTTCTAATTTTTAGAATTAAAAAAAGACGAAGAGCAAATTGAACCGAGATTAAAGTTAATCTGCATTGGTGGAAATGGGCATAAGAAACGTTTGTTCGAGATTTGCACGGTCGTAAAAATGCATTACATCCCTTAATCTCCTTTTTTAGACGTAAAATTTTTATAAATAAGTTACTGATACTTTTCCCTCGATTTACATTTCCACTCATACCATAAGCATAAATAGCTCTGCATGAAGCATAAAATCTGAATAATACATAAAAAGAAAAGTATAACAAAGGTATAAAAGAATAACAAATATTTTCTCTCTCTAACAAAAAAGTGAAAGAAAAAGAAAGATTTTCGAGATTCTCTTTCCTCACGAAAGCATTGTTAACATATTCACTCGACTACTTAAAATATGCTCGCGCATAAATAAAATTTTCATTCTATTCATGCACGGAATGATGTATTTCTATTTTACGTGCGTAACTGAATGAAAACTGTGAAACAGTGATGAATTATACCACAGAATAATAAAAATGTATAGATTCGGATTGTTATAAATATACAGATACTAGCAGGGGTTTTAAGAATAGGGAAATTTGTCTCGGCGCTGATTCTTTCCGACTAAGCTAGAATAACTTAGTCTTAATTTACTCGCTGATTCGACGCACTTTAACGGTCTATTCCTTTTCTAATAACACGTAACCGAAAGATATAGGTTAAAAAGAAAGAAATCACGCGCGATGATTTAGTAAAAAAACGACAACATTCCGTTTGGATAAAATGTAACTGCATGTGTATAAGGAGAAAATAGTTAATAAAAAATATTCAAAAATAATTAAATAATAAATAATAATAAAAAATAAATAAAAAATGATTTAAAAAAAAACATATCTACACACTTCTTTTTACATCCGAGACGTTATTGCGAAGGTCTTAATTAATGTGTATTCTTGACAGAATACAATATCTAAAAGCAATGGTGAGTTGCAAGCAATGTTTATAAAATCACACTTTTAAAAAACATATCTTATATAATCAAATAACGTATCTTTCAACTGAATAATGCATGTAATACATACGTGTACGTAACTCTCATAGATTAATCGAAATAAAAAAAAAAACAACAATGTTTCATTCAGTTTGAATACCGTTCAATGATGCTCACCATCGATATAGGTCGCGTGGGCGAGTCCAGCGAATGATCTGTCTTCCTGTGATAAACGCCGCAGGCGAATAAGGATTCCCTATACACACAATGTCCACGACAAGGGAGACAGGGACACGCGAACTTTTAACCTCGGCACGACGAGCGAGAGAAAAGGGAGATAAAGCGCGAGAGAAAGCACGTTCCACATCTATACACATGCGTGCGTACAAGCTAGCGGACAAATTCTTTTTCACGACGAAATAAAGATCTTGTCCAACATAAGAAGAGTACAAGGAGAGAACACCGCCGGTGGTGACCGGTACGCGTCCGTTCACCAAGGTGGTAACTCTCTTATCGTCCACCCACCGAGAGAGTTTATGGTATACACTTTGTATACACTTCACACGCGCGTAGAATTAAAACCAGGAATCCAAATCGGCATAATATTTCAATCTGATTACAGCCTATTATAAAACATTTAATAATTTAGTTTTTAATTTTAACTTTTCAACCGATGGAAAAAAATTCATTAAAATCATTTCTGTTTATAGAGAGTTTCTTTGATTATAGTTATAATTTTTTAATAATTTTTTTTTTTCAACGAGATCAATTATTCTCTTGCAACGAGAAATATGCATCGTTGAAGAAATCTCATTCCACAACGTGCGTTTCAAAATAACAAGATATATCTTCCTAGTTGAGAATCAAATCATTTCTCGTCTCCTTTCATCGCGAGACAAGTAACGAGTCAGGATATCACCTCGATGGCGTGGTAATATCGCATGGGTACACGCGAAATACTTTATTGCCTGACACGATAGCATCGGGCTCGTTATCTTTAATAAGATCGACTCACATAAAATCGCAGAGAATATAATAATGGAGCATCGGACAAAAAGCGTCTTATTGCCATTGGATAATGTAAACCTTGTGGGTGGATGCGTGACGCATCGCCATTTGAGATCCACTGCCATCAACGTATTCTTTCGTCGTAGCAAGAAGTAAGGAGTAAGATGTGAAATTTAACCCTCCTGAGGATCATTTCGTACAAGTTTTAATACCGTCTGCTTATTGACTCGAGATTCTCGCGCCTTAATTAAGGTTCCGCGTTTAAATAGTCTGATTCCTTATATAAAGACTGACTGTGAGTCTGATTACGTCTCACGTAAGATTGCACCAGCTTGTCTGTCCCGCTATCGGTAAGGCTTAAAAATTGTTTAATTATTTGACAAATGATGTTCGTCTCTTATGGTCAGATGAACGACCATTTCTCTCAAGTGCAAAATTAAATAGTAAAAAATTAAAAATATATATCTTACGTTAATAAAACTTCCGATAGGACATATTCTATATATATTTTAAATGAATGTACCAATTAAACTAAGATACAAATCACAATTTTCTTAATTATAAATTTATAACAAGGTATAAAATGAATGCATCATTGGTTAAAAGCGATATATATGCAAGCTGATTTAGCTGATACATGTAGCGTTTATACCCTTACATTAATAATACCTTTAATCGATAAATGACCACCGCTAAGAAATGAATGATACGATAAAACGAAGGATCGCGATGAGTACGTACTCATTATTAAATTTGAGTACGCATCACACGATCACCGTAAATAATCGCCCACATTCGGTGACGCAGTGGTTTATAAATTTCATATAGGGCTATTACGCGAGTCATTTAAAATGCAATGATATAAATTAAAAGATCGCCGGCGTGACGATCAATCATGGACCATTCCTCTTGCGATTTTGTGCTGTTTTTTCTTCTTATACTTTTTATCATTTAAACGAGCACCATTTTGCGATATCCCGGCGCCCTTTACTTTCACTTTAATTTACGAAATATGTATTACGAAACAATCAAATCCAATCAAAATTTGAAACGTAAATATCAGGAATGTGTAAATAACACACTTATTCTTCAGTTTTTTGTACGCAAATCAATACGGTCATTTAAACGAAGATTGATTTTAACAAGAACGTTAATTTACGTCTCGCAAGAAGATAATTCATTCTCGTTTTATTTGCCACTCTGCAATATTTTCAGACGTTAATAAGTTCACAGATAATGTGACACACAAATGCACGCGTATACACAGGACTATGTACACATATACCATACATCGCAAATAGATTGAGGCTTACTCTCGTCTTTCGCATTGCCCGTTCGGCACGAACAACGACTCTTCGGTATCACCATGAGCCGGACCCTAATATGGAAGCCGTGCTCATTTGGTGCGTTCACGTTTTACAGCTGAAATGAATTTATGCGGAAAGGACACCTCTCTTCGTCCGTCGGAGCGGGAGAGAAAGAGCAAGAGAAGAGTCGCAGCGACAACGCGGCAACGCCAACGAAACGATAAATTTACCCCTTACCGGCTTCTCTGACGCTAAATAGATGCCCGCGCTGCCGTCCTTTGACATAAACGCTCAGCATAAATTCATCAACCTTTTGACCGATGGTGTCTCCGCGCACAATCAGCTTCCTTCACGACGCGTCCTAGAGCGCCGGCTCGGGAAGAATACAATGCTTGAACATTGCTTTAGCAAACGGGTATACGACAATCTCTCACAAATTGCTCGAATGTCCACTTATTCTCTCGATATTTTATTCTATTTTTTATAGTAAAGTAAAGAGACCAACTTTGAATTAAGTAATAGAACATTAAAAAAAAATCAGCTAAATGAAATATCTATAATAAATTCATCTCTGTGGAGATATACTCCACTCTGTTATATGCATTATCGAAAATAATCGAAACTGAATGGTGTAAAAGCGGGGCGTGATCATAATTTTGCGAGAGAGACGTAAATCCACTTGTTGTTTCTCCGTATATTCATTGCGTATCTTAACGCAATAATTTATATATCCTAATAGCACAAATAAAGGTTCACGGAGTAGACGTCTTCATAGCCAACATTGAATTTCAGCATTAAGCTAATGCGTACACCTCTTCTTCAACCGAATTTACATGAGAGATTATTGCATGCCCTGGCAAACGCTGACAAGCAAATTACAGCACGAATTTGACGATAGAGTGAAACACCAACCGGCTCAGACAGATTCGAGACAGAGCGGTGCGTAGGTGTCGACTGTGATAATGGAGTGAAAAATGAACATCGTGAGGAAACGGACGTACGATAATTCATTCGACACAGTAAACGAGCTGAGAGCATGGCGTAATTAATTGCGTTCGCGCTTTACGCGCATAGTGCGATGGCGAGCCGTCTAAGTTATAGTAAATTCGCGTGATGAAAATACTTGACAAGGCAACGTCCATTTGAATATGTCTGCTGTCGTGAGTCTCGAGTTTTGGAACACAGTCGACGTGAAAATTTGAAATGAGCCACGGTTCGTGTGGGCATATAGACACATTAAATTATTTTATATATAGATTATATGTATAATTATTATATAAACTTTTGAAAGATTTAATATTAACAATTATTATATAATTATTAGTATTAATACATTTTTTCAAATTTTATTCTTTCATAAAGATTATACGCATATATTAAAAATAAGTAGAAATACAACCGATTTTTAAGATTCCTCAAGTTTATTCCGCGTCAATTTCCCTTGTATAAAAATCAAACTGACTCTCTAATCTGTACGAGGTAAGAATAAAAGAAAATTTGGCACTTTTTATTTGCAGGTAGCAAAGAGGCGGCATTTACGTACGCGATAAGCTCGGCCGGTGTCACATACGCAGTGACAGCAGCTTGCAGCCGTGGCAACATCACAGCTTGCGGTTGTGAACCTGCCGTAAGGTAGGCTATAAATCCCGTAACGTTTTGCGCACAGCACGCAACGTGTTAATTATTACCGATTAATATCGCATTTTTGTAGGACGAGGAAGGAATTACCGCCGAACGGTTGGGAGTGGGGCGGTTGCAGCGCCGACGTCACGTACGGGATGAGGTAATTAAACTGATAGTTAATTAATTTGCACTATCAGTTCTCGTTGCTTCTTACGCCAGCTTGCTCGCGAACGGCGCAAATACGGCGAACGCTAAACACGCATAAATTTTAATATTATAATTTAATGTTAGGTTCGCGCGTAGGTTTCTGGATGCGAGAGAGATCGAGGGAGATGCTCGGAGCCTGATGAACCTTCACAATAATAAAGCCGGAAGAAAGGTAAGCGCAGTAATTAATGATAACGTTCTTTTTGTATTTTTATCTTTATAATATTATTTAAAAAAAAGCTAATAGGAGAAGAGCCCAGACACGGGCGTCACAAGTCATAAAATATGCGTCAGCAGAAAGTAATACTATGTAATGAGCACCATAATTGCCGTGAAGCAATATTAATTACCGTAACTCACAAGAGAAATCGTTTAACGCGAAGATTAAGCTCGCTGATATTTGACGACAGCACAGCTCTTCGCCATTTCTCAATCATCCTGTCGTATAATTATATTACGCGAGATTCTAAGATTATATAACACCATATTATACAAAGGATATATACAATGTAATTGAAGTAGACAGATATACTTCCCATGAAACTTAATTTGCTTCATACGCCTAAATGTTTACGCTTGCAAACTGATATCCACGATTTCCTACAATCAAAGCCTTGCTGCAGAATACAAACTATCAGTAACGCGTTACATCAATATTATAATTTCCTACTTAATAATATAAATGTAATAATACATATTATACATAACAGTCATTGAATTTACGCACTGATTTCTGCGTCAATTTCCATTATTCTATTATTATTTATTATTTTTGTCATTAAATTGACAGAAATCCATTTATCATTGTAATTTGTAACATATAATATAGTTACATTGAGTAAGAAATTATAATATTGATATAATGTTATCAGTTTATATTTTGCGAGTTCCGTATTTTTAACGTGTCGAAATTAAACAAATTGTCTATTCTTAACATTTCCTTTCACAATATTCTAATCTACCAATTCTATTGCAAAGATATGTGTACATAATATTTTATTTCACTCACGTGTTCTACGTACGTATTATGCGCTGTCATGTAGAAAATTAGTGAAGAAACAATAATTCAAGAATAATTAATATTATAAAGATATTAAGAATAAGTGATCAATCAATTTGTCAAGAAGAGAAATGTTCAATTATATATGTAGGAATGTGTTTCAGCACGTTAATATTTTATGGAAAATCATTATAGAAATTGAGCCTGACATGTTAACTTGTATAGCTATGGGCAACGGATTAGATCGGATAACAGAGTGATAATATCCATAATGAGGCGCGTTCATCGTGCACCAAGTGTATGCAAATCAGACATTACCAATTTTGATTTATTGCCCAATAACCTACGCGAGAAGCCAATTATACCGAGGAAGACAATGTCGTTGATCTGTGATTCGCGTACACATAACTGTTTGTTTAACGTATCTAGATATCTTAATGTTCTGTCTATCGTAATGTCCAATTTTTATTTTAAGAGAGAAATGGAAGGTGGATTGAAGGGGAGAAAAAAAAAGAGAGAGGAAAAGAATGCAAGAAATTACTAATGCAAGGATTAAAATCATTTATCCGATTTAACAAGCTCTTTTACAGCTCTTTTTTTTATCATTATCATTCTTACGGAGCAAAGTTGATGATCGAAAACGAGCGTTTGTAAGAAACAATTGCGTTATGCCCGAAGGTGAAGCGGTGAGGGCGGCGCGCCTTAATTGGGGAAAGTTCGTCTCGAGCTTTCGTCTACCTCGATTGGCCCTTATTACAAGCGGGCAATAAAACCTCGCTATTGGTTTGCGTACGTGCACGTATACGCACGTACCTGTATTCTCAGAGGTAATGATTTATTCTTAACGTTGATCGCCCCGGCGCGCCACATATTTTATGTGCGTTGAAGATTTTTTTAAACCTTCCTCCGTATGTGGCACCGACGCGGTGCGCCAGAATAATTCGAAATGTTAAACCAGTTTCATGCGCGTACGCGTCGTGTCCACGGTCGGCGCACAATGAAGGGTCCCCATCGGGAATCGAGCGTGCGTAGGATTTTGCAGATGAACATTCGATACGATTACAACCGTTTAAGATCACCCTCGAGTTAATCGAAATGCATCTCCGCGCCAGTGGCGTGGCGATGCGAAATCCGCACGGTAATTATTTCATAGATAGAACATTGTCATTGTAATAAACGCGAGAGAATGGACGACTTGTAACAATTCGAGCAGTTGTATATTTATACCTGGGGGGCTGACTGTTCTTGGAACGAGATATAAATTACAAAAGTGAGCAAAATTCAATATAGATATTGATCATTCACTGTAATGTCCATGTATGTAAAAAGTGACTACAATATATAATGTGTAACGATTGCTTTTCTGTGTAAAAATAACATACTATACTGCATAAAAAATTATTTTATACATTTAAACGCGTAATATAACTGTCATTTTTACATGGGAAACTGATCATACATATTTTGTAGTTATTTTTTAGACAGTTGGATTTACAGTGATAAAATTATTAATATTCTATTGAATTTGCTCACTTTTGTAATTTTTATCTCGTTACAAGATACATAATTAATTCTCAGCATGTCTATGAAGAATATAGTAAAATCCTTTTATTCTTCACGCGTTAAAATTAAAAACTTAGGACTTCAATTTCCAATACTTCTTTTTATTTCATTTATACGTAAAATAAAAATATTTAAATCGTACGCAAAATAATTGTATCGTAATATTTATATTTTACATAAGCACGACCAAATGAAAAATTTATAAAGCAATGAAGTAATGAATAAACATAGTCATAGGTTTTTTGAAAATGAAGAAAAATATTTTAATAAATTGCACGCAAGGTGACTAAAACAATTGAATTATGTATAACATTATGACAGTTCGAAGCTCTACGCCATTGATTTCTTCGTAATGGACCCGTGTATATCGTTTGAAAATGATTCAAGCATCGGGCGACGCATTTATTCTCATCGAACGCATTGTAAGTTTTCGTTTTCATTCTCGTTCCCGCTCTCCGACCAAAAAGGCTCCGATCGCATGTGTAGATTTGAAATTTGCATAGGATATGCGTGTATAATGAAAGAAACAAATCGACATACACTTTATTAAACGCACGATGTAAGTGGTAATCTGTTTGGATGCGATATTTAGATGCGTTTCGAGACTCTATACAAAGTTTTTGTGATATATTTGGACTTGTAAAAGCTTTATAAACTAATTCAAAAGGTAGCAGAAATTTTTTATCGCTGAATAAAATAAATCAATACTATATATATGCAATTTGAATAAGACCTAGTTTTTAAATATTGTACTGTAGTTCACTTAAAATTAATTGAATAAAACGAATTAATTAGTTATAAAACAATATTGAAGAGAATATGTGAAACCACATAATTATGAAAATTATATTTATTTGTAACATTTTATCTTTTCAGATAGTCAAGGCTCTTTTACAAACGGAATGCAAGTGTCACGGTGTATCCGGATCTTGCACTGTAAGAACATGTTGGCGAACATTACCCAGTTTTCGTCAGATCGGCGATGCTCTTATGAAAAAATACAGGAGAGCTAAACCCGTCATGGCTATTACACCTCCTCCCCCACCCACAGTTCAGGTACCTTGTTCAATTGAATGTCTTTTGTGAATAAATCGACAATCTTAAAATACGAGATTAACTCAATATATAAATCAAATTCAATTCAATACTGTTTGGTTTAATGGTGTTCTTATTGTTATTTCCGAAAGTTAATGCAAATTATTTGATATAGCTTATAATTTACAGACACTGGATGCAATGTCGCATTCAATGTTGCCAGAAATGGTACCCATATTGGGAAACGACGCCAAAACTCAAGGCAAACCGAACGATTTCGCCAAATCGCGGCACAATCGACAGCCACTGTTGAAAAAAATCAGCAAGTCCAAGAAGTACTTGGTACTTTCGACGCAGAAACGGTCGAAAGACAAAGATGGTAGCCCAACTATAAGCTCGATTATAAATCCGAAGAGAATTCCAAAAAGAAGCGAGCTAGTTTATCTTCAACCCTCCCCCAATTACTGTGAGCCGGATTTGGCGCAAGGTAGCCTCGGTACGCAGGGCAGATATTGCAATCGTACTAGCACAGGTAAAAGAAAAAATCCTGACAGTTTTACAATTCCATAGATAATAAATGCTATTTTATTAAACATTTATAATCTCCAAAAAAATCAGTTTGCTAATTTTTGACGTATTTCTATTTCAATAATTAATTTAATTATCAAGACATCCAACGTAAAAGTTAAATGATAATTCTTCACCAAGAATTTTTTATCTCTTACGAAAACAATAAAAATCTTTATCTGTTTTTAGAAACCGATGGATGTGATTTAATGTGCTGCGGTCGTGGCTATAATACACATCAATTCACAAGAACGTGGCAATGCAGATGCAAGTTTCACTGGTGTTGCCGCGTACATTGCGAGACTTGTATGGAACGCACTGAGGAATATACATGCAAATAATGCTATTATCAGCGTACAATGTGTATATAGATTTGCGAAATAGTATATGTAATTATATAAATGTTAGGTTTTATCTTCAAGAGTAAAAGGAACGAATTGACGCATGAGAAATGTTAATTAATATTATACGTGATTACAAAAACAAAATTACATCTATCATAATTTCAAAACTATATAATGAGAATTATTAGAATTATATTGAACAATGATGTTAAAGTTGATAGGAAATCTCGTAACTTTTCAAGCCTACAAAATTTCGGGCTATATGTAGAGGTTTATAGTAGTTAATCATTGGATAATAACCCTTAAACGCCACACTTGAAACGACACACTTGAGTATGACATACCCAACCTAATTCAATTGCTTATAACTTTCATAAAAACAAACATACTTATTAAAATTCTTTTCACTCGAAAAATCAGACTTCTTTAAGGAACATAATGGTTCCAAGTAAATATATGTATCTTTATTAATAAAAAAGTTAGAAGCAATAAAAAAAAAGCATTGGAAAAACATTGGAAAAAGAAAACTGGGTATGTCACACCAGAATGGTTTTTAAGGATTAAAACAATCAAATCTAAAAATGGATCATTAAATGCGTAAATATCGTTCTATATGCTGATTTTAGATGCTGAGAGAGAATTGCGCCAAGTTTCATCCCGCTTTTATTTTTTATTTTGTATTTAGGGATGGGATTAAGTCCAATACATATTTATGAAATTAGATCAATGTCTAAATATTGTTTCGTCGATATCAGATAATATAAGATAATTAAAAAATAAGTAATATCGAGTTTTGTAAGAATTATAGATACGTTTCAGATAATTATAAGAAACGTAATTCAATAAAAATCACTAACAATTCATATCGATATTATTTAGAATAGGTTTGTCCAGCACTTTACTCGCGAGCTAAACACTTCCATTCTCCAGCATCTCGTCGAAAATGAGATAGAAAAAAAATGTAAATAATTATTAGAATAATTATTAACCAGAGAGAGAGTCTCTAGTGTTTATTCTTTTTTTTATTTTCTCGTTATCTTGCTCAAATAAGACGATAAAAAGATAGAAAAACATTTAATTCGCAAACGAAGTTTCCGAGTCTAAAGTAGTAAAGTTTCCTAGGTCTGATCTACTTAAACATATTTTATATAATATCGATATCATTTAGAGTCTATTCAAATTTCCAAAAATATACACTGATATAATATAAATATTATATATAATATCAGCGTCTCTTCTCGATATCTACGTATGCATTTTTCTCTGATAATATAAATTATTTATTATTAGAATTCTTGCTACAATGCGTAGTCATATAATGCGGAAATTATCATATAATAAATAAAATTCTGTAGCATCTATGTGTTTTTTTATTTCGATTTCTGTAGCACTTATTTCTCATTATCTGTATTGTCGATTTTCTTTTAAAAGACAAATTTTTTCTATTTTTTATGTAGAATAATACTTTTTTTTTTAATCTAAAAAAAGATAAAGAAGCTTTTGTAATATTAATGCAATGTGAATTTTATTTATCCTTGATCGAAACAATTTTTTAATTGATTAAAATTATTTTCTTAATCTATCAAAAACTATAGAATATTAAAAATAAAATCTACATCATATCATTTTATTATTTTCTAAACAGTTTGGATGCGTAAAATGTTACTCGATTTTAAGTTCTTTGGAGTAGAATTTCTGAAAAGTGAAAATTGAGTCAATCTTGAAAAAGATTCAATTTTCTTTAAAACTGAGATTTTATTTTCAGAGTAACAATTCTTTTCTAAAAGAGTTTTGAATATATAATATTATATTTAATATGGATATATAACAGTATATTTAATTAATTTAACTAATTATAATTATATATAAATAATATTCTATTCTATATTAATTTTATATATAATTATAATTAATAATCTAACAAAGAAAGAACAATAAGAGTCAGATAGTAAATAAAATAAAATAAAGCGGTTAAAACATTTAAATAACTTTAACTGTGTATATACATAGAAATAATTGAAATACAATAAATAAATTAGAAGTACTTAGCCGCTTATGATGTTATAAAAATGATAAAAACGCAAATTTGTAAAAAACGCAACTAGTTTCGACTCCAAGGATTGAGTCATCTTCAGACGTCCAAAAAAAAGAAATATTCTCTTCTTCCCATACATACAGTCAAATCATAAAATCACCAACTCCTCGATTTTCTTTATTATTGAATAACATTGATAATAAAAGATGGAAAGATCTTATATTAGAACAATGTATCTGTAATCATAAATTTAAACAAAACAACCGTAGATAACAGTAAGATCTTATATGAAAATTCTTTAACTCACCAAACGAAAAATTATTTACACAAAATCGATGCGTCAGTTAACAGTGTATAATGAGAACAAACAAAAATAAGACATACAGTAAAATTTAAAAAATTGAAAAAAAGAGCCATGATAGCGAATATTTATTATATTTAAAGACTGAATATCAGAAGACGCGGTAGCCTCTCCGGCCATGTTCAAAAACTGAGAGACGCTACAAGTCTTTCATCCCGAGCAACCAAAGTCCATTTTTGGGAGGTGCATAACTACTAAAATATAAAAAATTTTGAATCGAACGTCATATGCCCACCGGACCTCCACTACTTGCCTCCACCTCTCCACCACCACCAACCCCCGCCACCCCTCTCTTCCGCTGTAATTCACTCTTTTTCGTTTTACAACTTTTTGACATCCTCTCTCACCTTTCACTCGAACCTTCACCATCATCGGCCCACCGGAACTCCTCCACTCGCCACTCCCCCTCCCCCCACCAACCACCACCGCTGCTCCTCGCTTTCGCCGTATTTCACTTTTTTCGTTATTACAACTTTTTGACATCCTCTCTCACCTTTCATTCGCACCTTCACCATCATCGGCCTACCGGACCTTAAAATATTAATTAAAATAAGAATCCGACTGCTGACTGGTACGACGAATATTTAAAAAGAAAAATTCTGAAAAACTTATTTAATTGTAAAAAAGTTTATTTAAAAAATTTGTTTTAAATATGAAGGTAATAAAAAAAATCGATGCGTTAATATTAGACGGTTAGTGAAAACAATCTTGGGGATTGTTTTGATGTGGAAGGGCGGATGCGCGCGAGTTTCATATCCCCCCTCACTCGGCTCACCAATAAACCGAGCAGTCAACTTTTAAATACATATTAAATAAAATTACTGTTTTAAATACTCCCGACTGCTGACCGATATGACGTATATTTAAAACCAACACAGTACTATCACGAGTTAAATTGTAATATATTACCACGAAAAGTAACTGATTATTAATTATTAAAGATGCCAATACAAAGTGAACATACGTAAAGTGTATTCGACTGTCATGGGACATTTCGACTGCCCGCGGAACGGTGAGGGCGACAATGCAACATTTGGTTGATTTTCGAATCGCCTCCGTCTAGCTTTCGCTGTCCCTCTCACAACACCGCACCGCGCATAATATATTACCAGAAAAAGTAACTGTTTTACATTTATTTAATAATTTTGATTTATAATTACTACGAAAAGTAACTGTTTTACATTTTTTAATAATTTTGTTTTATAACATGCAATCGCGTTAACGAAAAAAAAATTAATATGTTGTTATAAAACTGACGTGTCAATATTAGACGGTTAGTGAAAGCAGCCTTGGGGATTGTTATCAAAACAACACATCAAGTGGAAGGGCGAATGCGAGTCGCACGTCCACCCCTTGCCTGGCTCACCGATAAACCGTGCAGTCATCATTTAAATACATATTAAATAAAATTATTATTTTAATTACTACCAACTGCTGATCGATATGAAGTATATTTAAAACTATCGCAGTACAATCACGAGTTAAATTGTATATTACCACGAAAAGTAACTGATTATTATTTAAAGATGCCAGTACAAAGTGGACATACATAAAGTGTATGTAACTTTCGACCGATTTTCGAATTGCCTCCTCTTTCCGCTGTACCCCTCACGTTATATTAAATACATATATATATATTTGAAACATATATTGTAAATAATAAAATTATTTTTAATACTCCCGACTGTTGACTGGTATAAGAAACATAAAATATATATATACAAGCTTTGAAAACTTATTTAAAATAAAAATTATTATTTTTATTAAAACATGTGTTTTAAATAACTTAATTTTTTAAAAATAAAAGTGGTGAAGAACGTTTAATACTTTACAGAATTAAATTTAAAGAATTAATTACATAACTGGTACACTCAGTCCTTCATTCTTTAAATAGTTTTTTATAGAGAGAGAGAAGAGAGAGAGGATATAGTAATTTGACTTTAAATTATTTAAAACAGAGTGAAATCTAACCAATTAGTATTTTATCGCTTTGAAATGTGATTTTAACAGTACGAATATTTTAATTAATATGATAATATGATAATTTTAACGAATATTTTAATTAATATGATAATGTGTAATAATATGCACCGAAGATATACGATCACGTTAATGAATAAATAAAAATATGTTGTCCAAAGTCGACGCGTTAATTAATACGCCTCCGCCTCGCTTTCGTTATCCCCCTCACCTCACCGCACCGAGCGCAGAACAATACCATTCGACTGTAATGGGGCATTTGGATTGCACGCGTTGTTTATGTGTAGCTTTTGCTGTCCCCCTAATCACATCGCATTACGGAAAAAAACAATGCCATTCGACTGTCATGGAACATTTCGACTGCACGCGGAGCGGTGAGGAGGAAAATGCAACTTTTGGCTGATAACATATTTCCGAAATTTTTTAGAAAACTGTAATATGCAAATTGTAATCTGTTTTACTTATATGTATGTATGTTCATTTTGAATATGCACCTTGAATGATCTATCATTTACTTATCGTGGTA